GTAAGGGAAGTGCATCTGAAATTTTTTCCATATCAATAGCGATAGGGTAGTGATGGGTTTTGCCATTTTGCAGCACCAGGCAAGATGTTGCAAAGTCCTTCCTCACAAGACAGTGTAAATTATTTTGAACTCCTTCAAAACTGGAAGGTGACGGCAGAGCCGAAGTAATCGTATATCTACATACACGCATATAATCAGCAAACTATCACCGTAGAATCGACCCGTTTTTAAGAACTGTTTGGCCGCGATAACTGTTATCTGTCGATCAATAATCTGTCGTTCAGGTAAGTAAATAAATTATTGCGAAGAATCGCCCACCGTATACTAAACTGTACGAACTTACACTGTCCCCATGTCCGCTAGAGCACATCAAATTTGAATAAACCTCGCTACCTCGTCCATCTACAGTCATGTTCTTAAATAACCTCGTCAGATCGAGACTTTCGCATGGAATTCATGCACGACGCTAAGCCTGTTCAAAAATTTGCGCCTTCTCGCTTGTGGAGCTCCCTTGTACCTCCATTCTTCCCAGCCAACTTTAATCTGTAAAAATTGAAATATAATGTCAATGTTATTTACTGTCCTCCTGATTTGTCTTTCATCTTTATCAATTTTTTTCTGTTCATAATTCTTCGACACCCAATAATCCCTTGTCTTTTAGAGGCTGTACAGTATTTCTTGGGGTGAAAACGATTAAAAAAATAAAAAATAAAAAGCAAAAAACACTCAACTGGATAAAACTGCTTTCCAAGACGAATGGTAAAAAAAAACGTCTTTGAGGGAGTTAAACTTGATGATGTTGGCGGATAATCCTTCTGTGAACATCATGGACTTAGCTACAGAACCGCAAACAAAGAACTGTATCGAATAACATAAAACATATCATTGAGGATGTTATGGTCCAGGTTAGGACCAAGGAAGAACAACCCGAACACAAGAGTAGAAATAACGAAGGTATATTACACGAAATAATAATACAAGATGTGGAAGGTGTTAGCATGACTGTCAGTCTGGTTTAGAGTGAACTACTATCAGCTCGGCTCGATTCGGTATCTAGCCACCCGCCACGAGGGTTGCATGTGGCACAAGGCCGAGTTTAACGTGAGTTTCCCCAGCCCGTAGGCTCGGTCAAAAAATGCCTGCAGAACCCGTATAAAGGGGATCGGGTTGGTCAACCTCCCCGAACGAGACTCTGTCCTTCGTCGGAGCCTCGTCCGGGTTCCTCTCTGATCAGAGGCAGAGAGTTCGACCGTCAAGCCGAGAAGCTCGGCTCGATTCGGTATCTAGCCACCCCACCACGAGGGTTGCATGTGGCACAAGGCCAAGTTTAACGTGGGTTTCCCGAGCCCGTAGGCTCGGCCAAAAATAGCCCATAGAACCCGTATAAACGGGATTGGGTTGGTCAACCTCCCCGAACGAGATTCTGCCCTTAGGCGGAACCTCGTCCGTTCGACCGTCAAGCCGAGAAGCTCGGCTCGATTCGATATTTACTTGTCCTCCAAAGAGGGAAAGATGTGGCACAAGGTCGAGTTTTACGTGGGTTTTCCGAGCCCGTAGGCTCGGCCAAAATATGCCCGTAGAACCCGTATAAACGGGATCGGGTTGGTCAACCTCCCCGAACGAGACTCTGCCCTTCGACAGAGCCTCGTCCGGGTTCCTCACTGCTCAGAGGCAGAGAGTTCGACCGTCAAGCCGAGAAGCTTGGCTTGATTCGACCCTCTTTCTCTTGAGAGGCGTAGTATACATAGTGTTAGGAAGAATTCATTCTGTAGTTATAGGTAAGGACCCATGACTGAGGATTACCAACAGCTACAACAACTAAAATGGATGGCATATGTAACACAAAGATAAATTAATGAGATAATGAAGATGTTATCGCACAGCTCATACAAACCCCGCTATTTGAACAAGATTTTATTTCCTGTTTCTCAAAATGGGTTTCCGGTTCTCATTTTTCACCAGTAACCGCTTGCGTTTTAGTGGCATTATCGCCTTGCTTGGGGTGAAATGATAAAAAAAGAATGTTAGTCTTTCTTTTTTACTTAGTGGATGAGTGGGTGGTGTAACGGAATAAAATATCGAAGAGTAGAGTTCGAATTCTAGTCGAGTTCGTTACAGTGACTGACGAGCAAATAACTTTAGTTAAAGTATGGAGCGATTCCTTCATTCTGCTATGGGTTAAAAAGTTGCAACTAGAAAGTGTCTCAAAAATACTCAAAAAATAATTATAGTTTCAATGAAAATAACCAACAAAATGTGGAAAAAACGTGAAATAACAAAACTGTTAATTTCTATGGAAATTTATTTATTTTATCTCTAGCCAATTTTATACACTCTCCTTTTTCTTTCTGTCTTTCCTTAAATCTTTCTCTCATCTTTCTGTCGTTTCATGCATCTCTTTCATCTTTCTCTCTTTACTGGAATCTCTCTCTTCATTCTCTCTTTTCTGGAATCTGTTTCATCTTTCTCTCTTTTCTTACATTTCTCGCTTCACTCTCTCTTTTCTTGCATCTCTTTCATTCTTCTCTCTTTACTTGCATCGCCCTCATCAGTCTCTCATTTTGCAACTCTTTCATCTTTCTCTTTACTGGAATCTCTCTCATCATTCTCTCTTTTCTTATCTCTCTTTCACCCTTCTCACTTTTCTTTCATTTCTCCCATCAGTCGCCCTGTTCTTGCAGCTTTCATCTTTCTCCCTTTTCTTGCATCTCTTTCATCTGTCTCTTTTTGTTTACATCTCTCCTAACATTCTCTCTTTACTTGCATCTCATTCATCCTTCTCTCTTTATTGCATCTCTCTCATCCGTCTCTCTTTTTGCATCTCTTTCATCTTTCTCCCTTTTCTTGAATCTCTCTTACCAGCCTCTCTTTTCTCACATCTCTCTCACCATTCTCTCTATTCTTGCATCTCTCATCTTTCTCTCTTTTCTTAATCTCTCTCATCTTTCTCTCTTTTCTTAATCTCTCTCATCTTTCTTTCATTTCTTGCATCTCTTTCATCTTTCTCTCTATTCTTGCATCTCTCATCTTTCTCTCTTTTCTTAATCTCTCTCATCTTTCTTTCATTTCTTAATCTCTCTCATCTTTCTCTCTTTTCTTAATCTCTCTCATCTTTCTCTCTTTTCTTAATCTCTCTCATCTTTCTCTCTATTCTTGCATCTCTCATCTTTCTCTCTTTTCTTAATCTCTCACATCTTTCTCTCTTTTCTTAATCTCTCTCATCTTTCTCTCTTCTTTCTTTTCATCTCTCATCTTTCTCTCTTTTCTTAATCTCTCTCATCTTTCTCTCTTTTTTGCATCTGCATCTCTTTCATCTTTCTCTTTCTTTCTTAATCTCTCTTATCTTTCTCTCTCTCTCTTTCTTATTCTCTCTCATCTTTCTCTCTTTTTCTTAATCTTAATTCTCTCTTTAACCATTCTCTCTATTCTTTCTCTCTTCTCTTATCTCTCATCTTTCTCTCTTTTCTCTAATCTTTCTAATCTTTCATCTTTCTTTTTTCTTAATCTCTCTCTTTCATCTTTCTCTCTTTCTTTTTCTTAATCTCTCTCATCTTTCTCTCTCTTTCTTTCTCTTTCATCTTAATCTCTCTCTCATCTTTCTCTCTTTTCTCTTCATCTTTCTCTCTTTTCTTAATCTCTCTCTTTTCTCTATTCTTTGCATCTCTCATCTTTCTCTCTTTCAATCTTTCTCTTTTTCTCTGCATCTTTCTTTTTTCTTAATCTTTCATCTTTCTCTTTTTCTTAATCTCTCCTCATCTTTCTCTCTTTTTTTACATCTCTTTTCATCCTTCTCTTTTCTTGCATCAGTTTGTTCTTCACTCTTTACTTGTCTATATTATTTAATGAAACATGTATTCATATATATATATATATATATATATATATATATATATATATATATATATATATATATATATATATAATGCTGATGTTAATAAAGTAGTGTTCGATGTAATAAAACACAGATATTAATAAATATAAATATTACACGATTCGAGTTTTTCACGCAGTGCTCAAGTTGCTGAGTATATACTGTACCCAGCACCTGAAGATTGCGTTGTGCATGAAAATTCTGAGTTGTGCTACCGATGAAAGTTAATATGTATATTTATTAATATAACCGGTGCGATGGATAAATTGCCATTTAAACTACGCAAAAATCAATATAACCCTGTCATCTTAATTTATCAGATATATAATTCCAAAGTTACACAGAAAACATCTTGAGATACCGTGGAGTAAATTTATTCAATAAATTCTCCATTGTTTTCAAACAATTCTGGGCGGGCTTCTTGTTTAAGTTGGTAAATTCTGCCATAATCATTGCCTTCATTTCATCTTTTGTGATACAAAGCGTTTTGTTGCTCTCTCGCTCAACTATGCCCCACATATAATAATCAATGGGGTTGCAGTCATGGGAGTAAGGTGGCCATATGAAAGGGATGATGTGGTCACAGAAATTGTCTAGCAATCATGACTAGGTGCTCCGACGTGTGAGGCTTGGTGCTGAGTTCCTTTACCAGATATAGGGTCTTCCAGCAGACAGCCTCTTAACCAAGGGCAACACTACCTCCTCAAGGCACTTGACCTAGGCCTCATTTTGAGTCTGATTCTCTGTGGGAAGATGAAAGGAGGCATAATTTTACTATCACTCGTGATCACCATGATGTTGGCTGGATATATTATCTAACTCTTTCCGAATTCTCTGCAATGTCTTCAGATTTACACCCAAACACACAGAAATATCCGTATTAAACCTTCCAGCACGAATGCCAAGCAGTGTAACATGCCGTTTCCAAATTTCTGGTAGAGTGAATAGCGTCACGGTGCTTTTTTTCTCACAGACGGTGCCCGACTGACCCTACTATACTATGCAGTCGAGAAAAATCAAAATCAAACATGCGCGAAAAATAAAATGCCGACAATTTGCTCCTCTCATCCAGTAGATATGAAAAGATTGTGAAGATAGATAGATATGAAGAAAATGATAGAGATAGATATCAATTAACTGAGATAAATATATCGATAGATAGAGAGAGAGAGAGATTTGAACAGAGTGATATAGATAGATCTGAACAGAGATAGATAGATAGATAGATAGATAGATAGATATAAAAAGACTGAAATAGATAGATAGATAGATAGATAGATAGATAGATATGAAAAGACTGAGATAGATAGATAGATAGATAGATAGATAGATAGATAGATATCAAAAGACTGAGATAGATAGATAGATATGAAGAGAATGACATAGATATATAGGGCTTGAAATAGATATGAAAAGCTTTTAATAGGGAGATAGATAGATAGATAGATAGATAGATAGATATCAAAAGAAAGGGATAGATAGATAGATAGATAGATAGATAGATAGATAGATAGATAGATAAGTTATCCACATCATAATAATAGAAAATAAACATAGATAGATAGATCGATAGATAGATAGATAGATAGATAGTTGCAGGTGTGTGTCTGTATAAGTCTGCGGACATGAGGCGGGTTCATTTGTTAGTCGATAAATTGCAGATTTGTTTCCAAAAGCAAGAGGTCTGTATGAAGAAAGTGTAGATGAGTGAGAAAAGAAAAGAGAGAAATTAGAGCAAGAATTAAAAATACGGTAAGAGAGAGAGGGGGAGGGAGAGAGAGAGAGATGGGGAATAGCAAGAAGAATGTGTTTGAGTGAGAAGGATATTATCTATAGACAAGGGATTTATATTCGATAGATAATAATCGGGAGTGAATGAAAAAGAAAAATGAGACCGAAAAAAAGGGGGAGAAAGAAAAAGAAAAATGAGACCGAAAAAAAGGGGGGGAATGAAAAAGAAAAATGAGACCGAAAAAAAAGGGAGAGAATGAAAAAAAAATGAGGCCAAAAAAAAAGGGGAAATGAAAAGAAAAATGAGACCGAAAAAAAGGGGAGAATGAAAAAAAAATGAGACTGAAAAAAAAAAGAGAGAATGAAAAGAAAAATGAGAAAAAAAAGGGAGAATGAAAAAAAAAAATGAGACCGAAAAAAAAGGAGAGAATGAAAAGAAAAATGAGACCGAAAAAAAGGGGAGAATGAAAAGAAAAATGAGACCGAAAAAAAAAGGAGAAATGAAAAAGAAAAATGCGACCGAAAAAAGGGGGAGAATGAAAAAGAAAAATGAGACCGAAAAAAGGGGGAAATGAAAAGAAAATGAGACCGAAAAAAAGGGAGAGAATGAAAAGAAAAATGAGACCGAAAAAAAGGGGGAGAATGAAAAGAAAATGAGACCGAAAAAAGGAAGAGAATGAAAAGAAAAAATGAGACCGAAAAAAAGGGGAGAAATGAAAAGAAAATGAGACCGAAAAAAAGGGGAGAGAATGAAAAAAAAAAATGAGACCGAAAAAAAGAGGGAGAATGAAAAGAAAAATGAAACCGAAAAAAGGGTGCGAAATGAAAAATGAAAAATGAGACCGAAAAAAAAGGGAGAAATGCAAAAGAAAAAATGAGACCGAAAAAAAGGGGAATGAAAAGAAAAATGAGACTGAAAAAAGGCGAGAATGAAAACGAAAAATGAGACCGAAAAAAAAAAGGAGAGAATGAAAAAGAAAAATGAGACCGAAAAAAAGGAGAGAATGAAAAAGAAAATGAGACCGAAAAAAAAGGGGAGAGAATGAAAAGAAAAATGAGACCGAAAAAAAGGGGAGAATGAAAAAGAAAATGAGACCAAAAAAAAAAGGGGGAAATGAAAAGAAAAAATGAGACCGAAAAAAGGGAGAGAATGAAAAGAAAAATGAGACCGTAAAAAAGGGGGAGAATGAAAAAAGAAAAAATGAGACCGAAAAAAAGGGAGAGAATGAAAAGAAAAATGAGACCGAAAAAAGGAGGGAATGAAAATGAGACCGAAAAAAAAAAAAAAAGGTGAGAATGAAAAAGAAAAATGAGACCGTAAAAAGGGGGAGAATAAAAAAGAAAATTGAGACCGAAAAAAAAGGAGAATGAAAAGAAAATTGAGACCGAAAAAAAGGAGAGAATGAAAAGAAAATGAGACCGTAAAAAAGGAAATGAAAAAAAAAAATGAGACCGAAAAAAGGGAGAGAATGAAAAGAAAAATGAGACCGAAAAAAAGGAGAGAATGAAAATGAGAAAAAAAAAACCGAATGAAAAAGAAAATGAGAATGAAAAAAAGGGGAGAATGAAAAGAAAAATGAGACCGAAAAAAAAAAGAAATGAAAAGAAAAATGAGACCGAAAAAAAAGGAGAGAATGAAAAAGAAAAATGAGACCGAAAAAAAAGGGGGAGAATGAAAAAGAAAAATGAGACTGAAAAAAAGGGAGAGAATGAAAAAGGAAAAACGAGACCGAAAAAAAAGGGGAGAATGAAAAAGAAAAATGAGACCGAAAAAAAAGGGGGAGAATGAAAAAGAAAAATGAGACCAAAAAAAAAGGGGAGAATGAAAAGAAAAATGAGACCAAAAAAAAAGGGGAGAATGAAAAGAAAAATGAGACCAAAAAAAAAAAAGGGAGAGAATGAAAAAGAAAAATGAGACCGAAAAAAAGGGAGAGAATGAAAAAAAAATGAGAAAAAAAGAATGAAAAAGAAAAATGAGACCGAAAAAAAGGGAGAGAATGCAAAAGAAAAATGAGACCGAAAAAAGGGGAGAATGAAAAGAAAAATGAGACCGAAAAAAGGGGAGAGAATGAAAAAAAAAAAATGAGACCAAAAAAAAAGGAGAGAATGAAAAGAAAAATGAGACCGAAAAAAGCAAGGAATGAAAAGAAAAATGAGACCGAAAAAAAAGGAGAGAATGCAAAAAGAAAATGAGACCGAAAAAAAAGGGAATGAAAAGAAAAAGAGAACGAAAAAAAAGGAAGAATGAAAAGAAAAATGAGACCGAAAAAAAAGGAAAATGAAAAAGAAAAATGAGACCGAAAAAAAAAAGGGAGAAATGAAAAAAAATGAGACCAAAAAAAGGAGGAAAAGAAAAATGAGACCGAAAAAAAAAAAGAGAAATGAAAAGAAAAATGAGACCGAAAAAAATGAAAAAGAAAAATGAGACCGAAAAAAAAAATTGAGAATGAAAAGAAAAATGAGACCGAAAAAAGGAGAGAATGAAAAAGAAAAATGAGACCGAAAAAAAGGGAGAATGCAAAAGAAAAAATGAGACCGAAAAAAAGGGGAGAATGAAAAGAAAAATGAGAACGAAAAAAAAGGAGAGAATGAAAAGAAAAATGAGACCGAAAAAAAAGGGCGAATGAAAAGAAAAAATGAGAAAAAAAAAGAAAAATGAAAAAAAAAAAGGGGCGAGACCGAAAAAAAGAAAAAAGGAATGAAAAAAAAATGAGACCGAAAAAAGGGAGAGAATGAAAAAGAAAAAAAAATGAGACCGAAAAAAGGGGAGAAATGAAAAAGAAAAATGAGACCGAAAAAAGGGAGAGAATGCAAAAAAAATGAGACCCGAAAAAAGGGGAGAAAAAAAAGAAAAATGAGACCGAAAAAAAAAAGGAGAGAATGAAAAAGAATAATGAGACCGAAAAAAAAGGAAATGAAAAAAAAAAATGAGACCGAAAAAAAGGGAGAGAATGAAAAAGAAAAATGAGACCGAAAAAAAAAAGGGGGCGGAAAAAAGAAAAATGAGACCGAAAAAAAGGAGAGAATGCAAAAGAAAAATGAGACGAAAAAAAGGGGGGAGAATGAAAAAGAAAAATGAGACCGAAAAAAAAAAGGAGAGAATGAAAAGAAAAATGAGACCGAAAAAAAAAAGGAGAATGAAAAAGAAAAATGAGACCGAAAAAAAAAGGGAGAGAATGAAAAAGAAAATGAGAGCGAAAAAAAGGGGAGAATGAAAAAGAAAATGAGACCGAAAAAAAGGAGAGAATGAAAAAAAAAATGAGACCGAAAAAAAAAGGGGAGAATGAAAAGAAAAATGAGACCGAAAAAAAGGAAATGAAAAAAGAAAATGAGACCGAAAAAAAAAGGAGAGAATGCAAAAGAAAAATGAGACCGAAAAAAAAAGGAGAGAATGAAAAAAAAAAATGAGAAAAAAAAAAAAGGCAGAGAATGAAAAAAAAATGAGACCGAAAAAAAAGGGAGAATAAAAAAAAAATGAGACCGAAAAAAAAAGGAGAAATGAAAAAGAAAATGAGACCGAAAAAAGGGGGAGAATGAAAAAGAAAAATGAGACCGAAAAAAAGGGGGCGAATGAAAATGAAAAATGAGACCGAAAAAAAGGAGAGAGAATGCAAAAAAAAAATGAGACCCGAAAAAAGGGGGCGAATGAAAAAAGAAAAATGAGACCGAAAAAAAAGGGAGAGAATGAAAAGAAAAATGAGACCGAAAAAAGGGGGAGAATGAAAAAAAAAATGAGACCGAAAAAAAGGGAGAGAATGCAAAAGAAAAATGAGACCAAAAAAGGGGGGAATGAAAAAAAAAAAATGAGACCGAAAAAAAAGGGAGAGAATGCAAAAGAATAATGAGACCGAAAAAAGGGGGCGAATGAAAAAGAAAAATGAGACCGAAAAAAAAGGGAGAGAATGAAAAAGAAAATGAGACCGAAAAAAAAAAAGGAATGAAAAAGAAAAATGAGACCAAAAAAAAAAGGAGAGAATGCAAAAGAAAATGAGAGCGAAAAAAAAAGGGGGAGAATGAAAAGAAAAAATGAGACCAAAAAAAAAAGGGAGAATGAAAAAAAAATGAGACCGAAAAAAAAGGGAGAATGAAAAAGAAAAATGAGACCGAAAAAAAGGGAGAGAATGCAAAAGAAAATGAGACCGAAAAAAAGGGGAGAATGAAAAAAAAATGAGACCGAAAAAAAGGGGAAATGAAAAGAAAAATGAGACCGAAAAAAAAGGCGGGAGAAATGAAAAGAAAAATGAGACCGAAAAAAAAAAGGGAGAATGAAAAGATAAAATGAGAACGAAAAAAAAGGCAGAGAATGAAAAAGAAAAATGAGACCGAAAAAAAGGGGGAGAATGAAAAAGAAAAATGAGACCGAAAAAAAAGGGGAAGAATGAAAAAGAAAAATGAGAGCGAAAAAAAGGGAGAGAATGAAAAAGAAAAATGAGACCGAAAAAAAAGGGAGAGAATGAAAAAGAAAAATGAGACCGAAAAAAAGGGGGCGAATGAAAAAGAAAAATGAGACCGAAAAAAAAGGGAGAGAATGCAAAAGAAAAATGAGACCGAAAAAAAGGGGGAGAATGAAAAAGAAAAATGAGACCGAAAAAAAAGGGGGAGAATGAAAAAGAAAAATGAGACCGAAAAAAAGGGGAGAATAAAAAAGAAAAATGAGACCGAAATAAAGGGAGAGAATGAAAAAGAAAAATGAGACCGAAAAAAAGGGAGAGAATGAAAAAAGAAAAATGAAACCGAAAAAAAAGGGAGAGAATGAAAAAGAAAATGAGACCGAAAAAAAAAGGGAGAGAATGAAAAAGAAAAATGAGACCGAAAAAAAGGGGGAGAATGAAAAAGAAAAATGAGACCGAAAAAAAAGGGGGAGAATGAAACCGGAAGAAAAGAGAGAGCAAGAAAAAAGGAAAAGCTAATGCCTGTCGTAATAAAAGAGGTGCAAGATTAGAGAGACTGATGAGAGAGATGCAAGAAAAAAGAGAAGGTGAGAGATACTAGAACAGAGAGAGATGGGAGAGAGACAAAAAAAAGTGAAGGGTGAAAGAGATATAAGAAGGAGAGAATTATGGGAGAGTGTTGACTTCAATGTTCACTTTTTTGTATATATATATATATATATATATATATATATATATATATATATATATATATATATATATATATATATATATATATACCAGGTTCTCACAACAAAAGTTCATATAAAAATATGTCCGCAAATCGTTTGTTTTTTAATTATTAAGTTTAAAGAAAGTTTACGGTAGATGGTGCTGTGTTGTTGTCGTCTGATATTTCATCTTTCTAAAAATTGGTGTTTAGTTAATTATTTAAACATTATTCGTACCAGTGCTGTTAAAATTGACAAGATGGAATTTATTCTTACTAATATGTATTAAATTGTAAGTAATTTTCGTTTAATCCAAGTACAATTTTGTAATTTAAAATACTTTATTGTTAACGTTGACAATTGAACAGTAAATACCTAAGGAAAGATATTCGTATATTATCCTTATAAACTTTACATATTTACAGCCAAAATTAAGTTTACTGCAAAAGTTTCCACAGCGTAATATTTTTTTTTGCAAAGGTTTAAAGACAACAGTACTTATTTAATATTTCAACATTATTCGTGTAGATGGAAAAGCGACTGAAGCCGACAAGCCAGATCAGGACTAATAACATTGCAAATTTGATTTTGGATTTTATCAAGATTATCTAAATATATAGCAATAGCCAAATGTTACTCGCCAGATTGATTTCTTTGAAGTAGGTTTATTTCCAGTTATCTCCCTTTTTAATAATGTATGTACTTCTTGGGTTCTGCTGTCATCTACAAAACTGTCTTGCATATGAACACGTTCTATTACAATATTTGTAGCTGCTCTCTCAAAGCCATCACATGCACACCTATGCATTTGATATTATGGTGACAAATTATCTTAACGTAACTGTGCTGACAAAATTGATGAAAAGAAGGAATTTATTTTAAGTAATATCTATTACGTTGTAAGTAATTTTTGTTTAATCCAAGTACAATTTTGTAATTTAAAATAGTTTATTGTTAACGTTGATAATTGAATAGTGAACAGTTTATAAAATCCTAAAGAAAGATATTCGTATATTATCCTAATAAACTTTACATATTTACAGCCAAAATTAAGTTTACTGCAAAAGTTCCGAAAGCACAATATGTTGTAACTTTTAAAGATATGAGTACCTCATTTCTTGGCTTAGAAGACACACTTTTTTTTCCTAAAAATTACGCTGAGAATACGTGTTCGTCTTCATAGACGAATGTAAGGCAATGGCCAGGCTCAAAGTAAGCTTGGACATTCACCTAATTGGCTTGAATGATAGAGACGTGGGTTTGTATGTCGAGTCATTACACTTTAATGTTAGCTATGTAATAAAGCCTTTTATATGATTTAACCTCAGTTCTTAGCTGCTACAAGTATTTCCAAGACTATAAACCTTCCTGGAGCCCAGCCACAAGCTTAAACATGCTCTGTTTATTTGCAGCGGCGGGAGCCTTTCTGCTCTTGACTAGTATGTCATTGCCATGCAAACAAAATCGGACGAGTGATTAACGTAAACAAGACGTTCCACCAGTATGTGAGGGATGCATGATGAATGAGTTGTTGTATGAGAATGACTTTTTTTTTCTTAGAAATTTCTTTTCTATATTAGGATGCGTCTAAGCAGGAACATACAGTAATCCTTGACAGTAGATTCAATCTGTACTTTCAGACTTTGCTTATTTCTCGTCCTACTAAGAGCAACGTATCATCAAAGCACAATATTTTTTGTGTAAATTCTGGGAGATCTGGGTACCGTATTTTACGGCTTACAAGATGCACTTTTTTCCTAAAAAATAATCTGAAAAATACGTGTGCGTCTTCCAAGTTGAATGGAACGCTAGAAGTCGGAAGAGAGGTTACACAAGCGAGAAATGCAATAGAAGAAACACGTAGCATAGAACCTACGGTTATATCTAGCCATTGTATCTCTAAATTTTTGAGACCTTACCGCCAATCTAGTACTGCGTTTAAATTCATAAAATCTAGGTGCCATAGAGGAATGTCCGTCGTAACAGTTACTATGAAATTATTTATAGAAAAGGCACAGGGAAGCTACGTTATGTAGATGGAAAAGAGACTGAAGCCGACAAGCCAGAGCGGGACTAATAACATTGCAAATTTGACTTCGGATTTTATCAAGATTCAATAAATATATAGCAGGTGCCAAATGATACTCCCTAGAGTGATTTCTTTGAAGTAGGTTAATTTACAATTATCTCACTTTTTAATAACGTATTTAACTCTTGGTGCTGCTGTCATTTACAAACCTGAGAGTCTTGCATATGAATACATTCTATTACAATATTTCTATCTGCCCTCTCAAAGCCATCAAATGCACATCTATGCATTTGATATTATGGTGACAAATTATCTTACTAATAGCGTAACCATGACATCAAAATTAACGAAAAGAAGGAATGTATTATAAGTAATATCTAATATATTGTAAGTAATTTTCGTTTAATCCAAGTACAATATTTTTTCTGTGTAACAATCGAGGAGTGTGCCAAATAAAAAAAAAGATCTTTTGTTAAATAAAAAATTATGAGAGACTGACTTGAATTACATGCAACATTAGTCATGTTGAATATTTGTTTTACGAGGTCAAATGTGGAAGACATAAATAAATATAATTTATGTACGTATTTGAGAAACAGTGAAATGTCGTTATATGTTTCCTTTCTTCATTCCCCACCAAAATTATAACTTGAATTTTGGCGGGTGGGTCATCATTTGTGTGAAAGAGTCAGTACATGTGTGTGTGCTTCCTAGTAGTAACGGGGGATACATAAGATAATTAGAATTTAGTTCTTACTGTGAACTATGTCGGCGGTGTTCGGGGCGGTATCTTTATAGCTTTCAGCGCGGTAGCTGGAATTGTAACTCGGCTCTCCGATTAAAAATTCCATGCAATTATCGCTTACACCACCCGAACATCCAAGCTTACAGCGCCTGGTTTTTCCATGCTGTTACCCATGTCAGTAGTGACAAGGCTCGAGTTTGTGTAATTTCGGTGATCTTACGGGAACCGATGTTGGTTACATTGATTTTCGCAAAAAATACCTTTGGGAAACGTATGGATTCAACTCATTTCGCCTCCATAAAAGTAAGGGTTATTTACCAAGACAAACTATGCACGGTAGCCATGGTTAGCAACCAGGCTATGAGAAAAGCAACATTGTATGTAGTGCTCATATAGCAGATACTATGCAGCCATCGACAAGAGCTTAGAGGTCACAATGGACTGGTATGCAGGGTTTCGATCCCGACTGCAGTCGATGAGGTACGTTCTAGCCTGGTTGGTTGAATTTAGATATTACGACCTTTTATCGAGGCTCGAACTTCAATCAATACAGAAATAGGAAATTCACCACCATGTCACTTATAACAACACACACAGGTCATTATACATTCTTACACACATTTTTTATAGCAAATATTTTGGAAAGTCTACAGTAATATCTTTACACAAGCCGTGTTTACACAGTGTAACGTATTTGCAAATGAGTCGGCTGGAAATAGGAAGCAATATTGAATCCATCTAACCATTTCTGCGCATAATCCAAGAGGCAAATACACTTTTATTCACAAATAAAGTAAAGGAGAGTAAGGGAGAGACGAACACACATAGAGATTGACATTATTAAATATCGGCTATCTTCTGTTCTTGACACTTTATTTTTTTTTCTTCTTTTTTCAGTCGTTCTCTTTCCACCTCTGTCTCTGCAGTAGCCGGTCTATGCGTTCGTGAGCGAATCTATTCGTCCTTGATTGTCGGAGAATAATCGGGATACGACAAACATCTACCCGATTTTTCTCTTCGTCTTCTGCAAGACAAATCTATTTGGTAAAGTACTTGGAAGTGATACAAGTAAGTAAAATGTCTTGAAAGTTATATATGACAGCGATTTCAGTGCTGATTTTATAATGTTTACTTCCATTTTAATTCCGCAAACATATATTACACGCACTGTCAGACACACACACACACACACATATATATATATATATATATATATAGAGAGAGAGAGAGAGAGATTTATGTTTCTACGTTCTTTTTATAGATACACATATTTAAGTAAATGGTCTGTTTTATAATAATCAGTATTAACTACCTTCACCGGCCTGAATGTCCGAGAAATTTTCGTAGAAAATATGCGTCCTCCGACAGGAATCGAAACTGAATCCTATACGGAACCGTCATATAGCCTGACATGCTTTTACCGATTGAGCCACAGAGGATCGTTTCGGCTAGTAAGGTCGATTTTACCGTATTTATACTACAATTCTCCATCTCTCGTACATAAATATCTGCTCGATGCGTTTCCAAATGTAAACAAAAGACGTCACACATGAAATGTAAAAAATCAGACAATTATTTTAAGACATGTTTATGTTTATACATTCTTTTTATAGATACAAATATTTAAGTAAATGCTCTGTTTTATAATAACAAGAATTAACGACATTTACCAGCCTGACGATTGTGCCTAGCATGAAACAGCCTGTCGCCTCTGTGTGTTGACTTGAGTGTTCACATTTTTAGTTATATTTACATACGCCCTATCTCTGATATTGAGCACATTATACCATAAATATACCACACCTTAAAACTATCTTTCTTCATATATATATATATATATATATATAATTAGGTTGATGTGAGTTTGTGACCCTGGGTAAAATTTGGATTAATTTATGATTGCGTATATCGGTGTTTTTATGGTAGTGGGAGAAAAGATTTTCGTCAAAACGCCGCTCATGCGTACGCAGATATAAATACACGCACGATCACTTATATAATGTGTGTGTGTGTGTGTGCGTGAAAATGTATATATATATATATAATTATTTATATATTATATGCGCGGTACTTATTAGAAATCTTTAGACACACTGGGTTGTAGATTAATATTCTTTCGTTTTTTTTATTATTATTTCATTTAGATTCCTCGACTAGTTTCGACCAAAATCGCCATCATCGGGAGGAGAAATATTTCTGCTTACTGGTAGCAGTAAACTACAGAAATGAATGTCTTGATGGAGAAAATGAACTTTTGTCTGTAGTTTTCATTTGTTTCTTTTATTTTTTTTATCTTTTTAACATGAATCTTTTAACATTCCTTGTGTTTGTCAAACAGTCTCTTTTAACTTGTTATTTGAGATAAGAGCTGGATGGATCTATGCTTCTCTGAATTCCCGTGGTCAGTTTGACAGTTTTATTGGTCCTGGAGAGGGGATGTGTCTTTGTTTAATGTTTGTGTGTGTGTTATTTGGTTCTTAGGGAGTGAGTGAATATGATATGTGTAAGCGTGTGTATTGCTGTGGGTGGGTGTTATCATTTGGCTCATTAGGGAGTGAGTGAGTATGATGTGTGTAAGTGTGTATATTCGTGTAGGTGTGTGCATAAGTGTGAGGCCTCAACACCTCCATAAACATGTCTGTCTTATGTGGGTGAGAAATGTGGGTAGGTTTTGATTTGTTGAGTTATATATTAATACTATCTATATTGTTAAATTTATGGTTTAGCCCGGCTGGATGTTGTCTTTTTAGACGTTGTATCCACTTATTTTCCTGGGACTCTAAAATCTTTCTAATGTTATCTGCTCTGAACTTTTCTATTCTCTCAATTATAGAGAATTTGGCATGGGTTTTGAAATCGTGTTTTTCCAGGCGGAAATGTTGTCCTACAGGTAATAATTTTTCATGGGGAGTCGACTTAATTCGATTGCGATAATTATTAATTCTGTAGTGAAAGGGCCATTCATATTTTCCTACATATTGTTTCTGGCATGGTGTGCATTCTGGGTGGTAAATTATGTTATGACTATTATGATTATGTCAGAATCGTGGTAGATTTTGAAAGTAGATTTAGTGATTGAGCTAGTGAATGAATTCGTGTGTTTAATATGGTTGCAACATAAACGTCTTTTGTTGTTACATGGATGGGAAAATCCTGTTGTTTTTGTTCTTAGTTTATTACGGATTACCTTTTCTCCTGAAATGTGGTTACTACCTATGATTTCTTATGATGTGTATATATATATATATATATATATATATATATATATATATATATATATATGCACACACATTTTACATATATATATGGGTGTATGTGCGTGCGTGTACATATATCTCCCTTTTCTAAATACACACACACAGACACACACACACACCTACATATATATATATATGTATATAGATAGATAGATAGATATGACAACCAGGAAAGGCTTCAGTGTGACGCGTTTCATCCGTTAGGATTTTCTCGGATTGGGTTTTGATGAACTTGTCACGTCTGATCATGCGCACGAAACGAAAGACGGAGGTCGTTTCAAAATCTTTTTGAAGGAATTTTTTTTTAAATATTTTTTCTTTCAATGTAGCCAAAATCATTAATTGAAAAAAAAAAAAGAAAAGAAAACCACGACACAAAAAAACTTTCTAGTCTGTCATATTTTTCTACTGTTTATTGATATATAAAATTATACAAAATTACATATAATTAAATCATACGTATATATTCATATATATCGAAATATCAAAAGATATACATAGAGAGAGTCAAGGACAAGAAAACACGAACTTTAAACAATTCCCTCCCGATGTAGAATAACTTATGTAGTATTTGGCAAGATATGTAATGTTTAATAGACAGACCTTCTGAGTGAAATATAATAAAACCTGATCGTATGACTTCCTGCTGTTTAAATAATTATACCGCTCGTCATCGAACAAGAACCCAAGCACAATAAAATTCAAATATTCTCCCACAGAGATATCACCTTATCCAAGGACAAGGGCTAATATCTCTACGCAGAATTAAATAGGGAAAAAAGCGAACACACATTTCTTACCAATCACTGTGATAAGAGAAAGTACTTGATTGCACACACACACACAAGCAGACACATACACACACACACACACACACACACACACACACACACACACACATCTACACACACCTATCTATCTATCTATCTATCTATCTATCTATCTATATATATATATATATATATATATATATATATATATAATAAGTTAGAATGGTAATCCTTATGAAATGTCCTAGTTGATAAAGATGAAATGAGAGTCCTATGTCGGAGACAGGGCAAAATTATTAATTAATCAATATCAAACATTGAAAATACGATAATAATCTTTATTTTAATAAAGCTATAAAAATAACCTTAGATATTTTACACCTGTAAACCAAATATAAATATTTTATATTTGGTTTGCATGCCTGAAAGATTGCAGGCTATTTATATAGCTT